CCTCCCCCCCCCCCCCCCTCTGGCAAAGGGCTTGAGGCCTGACAGGGGGCCACGGACTTGCAGCTGAGAATCACTCCTGTGGTAGGGGATAGCTCAAGGTGCAGGGTGGAGGTAGGTAGGGGGATATTTTGTTGTAACAACTTAATGTATCAGAAATGGTTCGCATTACTGAACTAAATTGCCATGCGATTCCACATGATGTTTTTTGAACTGCTTCCAAGAGAAATAACCCCTGACCCTACCAGTAATCTTGCTTTGAAAAAAAAATGCTTCCTTTTTCCTTATAAGGCATGGGTCGATCTTGAGTGGGTGTAGTTATACTTTCATTCTGCTGTGAGCTCACTCTATCACTGCTCTGCAGGCTGAGTCTGCAGACTTGGAGCTGTAGGAAAATTACAGTCAGATCAAACACTTCAATTGCTTTCAGATAAATTTTATCAATAGAAGCCGCTTCAGGGAACAATCAAGAACGTGATCATGGGAAAATCAGGTTGGTGAAAGTTTATTGAGCTTCTGAACATTTAATCTGTAGTTTATGTAAGCAAAGCTTGTATGCTAAGATCCTTCCTTGTGCTTTAAGAATTGCAAAACTGTTAATAGTATGAGCTAACTGCTTTTATGCATACAGTAACCCAGAAGCAGTTTCTTTGTTTTGTGTCAAATGTTTTCATTAGATTTAAAAATACCATGCAGAGTTTACAAGATAAAACCACTTACCATAATATATATAGATTAAGGCTATGTCTAGACTGGCATGATTTTCTGCAAATGCTTTTAATGGAAAAGTTTTTCCGTTAAAAGCATTTGCAGAAAAGAGCATTTGGCACGGTCGCTTTTCTGCAAAAGCACTTTTTGCGGAAAAGCATCCGTGGTGCCAATCTAGACGCGGTTTTGCGCAAGAAAGCCCTGATCGCCATTTTCGCCATCGGTGCTTTTTTGCGCAAAACAGTTTTTAGCTGTCTACACTGGCCCTCTTGCGCAAAAACATTTCCGGAAAAGGGCTTTTGCCCAAACGGGAACATCAAAGCATTTGCGCAAGAAGCACTGATTTCGGACAGTAGAACGTCAGTTCTTTTGCGCAAAATCAAGCGACCAGTGTAGACAGCTGGCAAGTTTTTGCACAAAAGCAGTAGCTTTTGCCGTAAACCTTGCCAGTCTAGACGCAGCCTATAGTGATGCTAATAATTAAGGCAACTTTGTTGGACTAACTATACAGTACTTGAAGCAGGATCTTTCTAATTACAAGCACTCTACTTTTGAAACTGCAGTTTGGTTTGTGTCTCCCTAAGCATAACTGAAGTAAATTATGTACTGTCATAAACATGCTTAAGTATTTTTTGCCTAGATGATCATATTCCAGAAACCATTAGGATCAGACTTTGGCTACAATTCAGCAGAATATAGTCTCTGGCTCTGCAGGATTCATAGGTTTGGGACAAATCAACCCTGGATGAAGAGGGAGCATGGGCTAAGGGGGAGCCTGGGGCAAGAGCCTGAAGCCCTGCGACTGGGGAATAGAGCCTGCTAGAGCTGAAGCCCACGGCCCACCACTTTCAGGAAGGTGGGGAAACTCACACTGGTCTCCTGTTCCTACTGTGTTTGTGGCTCCAGAATGGTGCAGGGATCAATCCCTGCTGGCCAATCAACTGTGGGGGAGGGGTTGCTGCTGTCCCACTCCTCACTCACTATGCAGGAGGCTGTAATGGCAAAGCTCCTGGTGGCCAGAGGCGGCCATGATGGTTGCATTTTAGAAATGCTGATGGCCCCCTCTGCATGGCTGAAGGCTGTGGACCTAGTTCTGAAATCTCTTATGCTGGTGTAGATCTGAACAAATACCGCTGAAGTCACTGGAAATATACTTCTTACATCAAGATGCATTCACACTGATATATATTAGTTATCAGATTTATGAAGTTGATGGAGATTTGCTTATTATGATCAATTAAGTCTATTAATGTGGGGATATGTGTCTTACATGGTTGATTTAATATATGTTAGAAGAATCTGAAAAGGCTCATGCCCCCAAAGATACTAAGCTATCTAACTGAAACTGCATTTCAGAGAAGGGGAAGAACAACATTTTAAAGATTAATGCTCAATTTATAAACACTGGTCACAGGAGCTGGAACCCAAACATGGCAGAAGGGGAATTCTGACTAGTAAAATAGCTTTGAGATTGTGAAATAGATTTCCCTTTAATACAAGTAGGAAACTTGAACAAAAATGCTCTGAGCATACACCAAGCCTGATCTCAATCATTGTGTCCCCCTGGAGGACACACGGGGGAAGTTCTCTCTAGTCCATGTGGGGGATATTGACTGTTCTGAGAAAAAGGCCTAGTAGTGCTTGGAAAATCTCACATGTATAGCTGAATAATTTCTTTTCGCTTCTATGACAGGTACTAATTCTAGCAGCAAACAATGGACACCAATAAATGGCATATGTAGGGCACTGAAACCAGAACAGAGGACTTTCAGTTCTGAAAAATGCAGGCCTCTCCCAGTTAATCTCAAGAAACATCTTCGTTAGTTGTCATCTGTGATAGGACTTTTTGGCCTTATCTGTTTATTGGGAGTTGAATTGGGCCTTTAAACCTTTAAAAGCCATACACAAGGTCGAAACCACTAAGCATCCAAAATTGGGATAAAATTTTCAAACAGCTTATACTGAGTGCTGAGGAAGTGGGTCTGGCCCACAAAAGCTCATCGTCTAATAAACCATCTTGTTAGTCTTTAAAGTGCTACATTGTCCTGCATTTTGCTGAGTGCTGAAGTCTTTTGCAAATCTGGTCATAGAAGATGAGACAACAAAAAACTGAGCAGAGCATAATCCATCCAGTAGAGGGAAATAAGATACAGAAATGTCAGATGTTACATGGCTAGCATGTAAGTGCTGTTTGTAGACACATGTCCCTGAAGTCTGCAGATGTTTTCAAATGGAATAAGTTCTTAGTAAATATGTTTGTAAAGTCAACACCCATCCTGATTCAGCAATTCCAAGTTTAACTATTTTTATGTTGGAATAACTCTTTTAAGATAGAATAAAAAGAACAATCATCAGATAATTTAACAACCCAGTGAGACACCAATCAAGATTGTTTAATTTGGCAAAAGTGATGGAAATCAAAAAATGTGTTTATCTTGACATGAACACGGGCTATGTTTGAATACTGGCAACTCTAGGTGATGAGAATAATCATCATCATAAATATGTTTGTTTCCCTGACACTTATTATTGAGCATCAGTTGTGGCTTTTATTCTGAAATAAAAAATTAGTAAGAGACTGGAAATGTAAATTTGCCAACCTTGTCAGTTTCTTATGTATAGTTTTTAAGTAATCATTATATAAATACTTCCCAGAAATAGATTTTCTTTGATTACTAAATAGGTGGTGGTATTACGCCTTGTGAATCAACAGTGAGTGACCCAGCATGTTGACAATGGGCAGTGTGTTTTCCTAGGGAAGCTTTCAGATGAGAGATCTAACTGAGGTCCTCCTAGATGGTGCCACACACCCTGCCTGAAGAGGTTTCCATTATAAACAGAGTTTACATTTTGGTTCAATGGTTCTCACCACTCCCACTGTATAAATTATTCTAGTATCTTTGGAGATCCTGATAGACACCATCTATCACTGAAAATCTTCCAGGCGTAAGAGTAAAAGTGTTATCCCTCTGTCGTAGCCCTGTTTCCTCTTAGGCTACATCTAGACTGGCATGATTTTCCGGAAATGCTTTTAATGGAAAAGTTTTCCGTTAAAAGCATTTTCGGAAAAGAGCGTCTAGATTGGCACGGACGCTTTTCCGCAAAAGCACTTTTTGCGGAAAAGCGTCCGTGGCCAATCTAGACGCGTTTTTGCGCAAAAAATCCCTGATCACCATTTTTGCGATCGGGGCTTTTTTGCGCAAAACAAATCTCAGCTGTCTACACTAGCCCTTTTGCGCAACGGGAGCAACATAGTATTTCCGCAAAAAGCACTGATTTCTTACAGTAGGAAGTCAATACTTTTGCGGATATTCAAGTGGCCAGTGTAGACAGCTGACAAGTTTTTCTGGAAAAGCGGCTGATTTTCCGGAAAAACTGGCCAGTCTAGACACAGCTTTAGGGTATGTCTGCACTGCATTCCTCTTTCGAGAGAGGAATGCAAATGAAGCGCGGATTTGAATTTCCCGCTCTTAATTTGCATAATCGCATCTGGCTGCTATTTCAAAATACCCTATTTCGAGATAAAAAATGCTGTGTAGACATGGTTATTTTGAGAACAAACCCTTCTTTCGAAATTACCCTTACTCCTTATAAAATACCAGAAGTATCCTGAAATAGCTACCCCGCATCTACACGAGATGCCCATTATTTTGAAATATTTTTCAAAATAACAGGCATGCTATTTTGCTATCCAAGTAAACCTTGTTGCACGATGGATAAGGGATGGCTCGAAATAGCATGTTATTTCAAAATTTGGTCCTGTGTAGATGCACCAAATTTTAAAATAAGCTATTTCAAAATAGATTTGAAATAAGGTACGCGCTTTGCATGGAGCAAATTGCGTATCTTACTTCGAGTTTAGGAGGCCTTATAGACCTCAGTGAATGTTGCCTCCTCATCAGATGCTAACTAAATCTGTTTATAGGCTCCCTCTAACACAGAGGTGGGGAACCTTTTTTGGATCAGGGGCTGCTGACCCACAGAAAAATCAGTCAAGGGCCGCACGCAAGTGAGAAACAAACAAAAAAACCCTCACTGATGTGGCCCGAACAGAGAGACATTCCCCTCACCCACCAAAGCTTAGAGGGGCCTAGGCTAGTGGATTTTGTGTGCTCCAGCCCCACAGTGGAGCAGGGGCTTGGAGTGCCGGTATGGGCTCCTCAGTGCTGGGGGGGATCTGAGTCTCAGGGAGCAGATCCAGGTAAGGGGCCTTAGGTTCCCTACCCTGCTCTAACAAGTCAAAGCTAAATAGAATCATAGAACCATAGAGCTGGAAGAGACCACAGAAGGTCATCAAGTCCAGCCCCCTGCTCTAGGCAGGACCAATCCCAACTAAATCAACCCAGCCAGGGCTTTGTCAAGCCGAGACTTAAACACCTCTAGCCATGGAGACTCCACTACTTCCCTAGGTAACCCATTCCAGTGCTTCACCACCCTCCTAGTGAAATAGTTTTTCCTAATATCCAACCTAGACCTCTCCCACCGCAACTTGAGACCATTCCTCCTTGTTCTGCCATCTGTCACTACTGAGAACAGCCTTTCTCCATCCTCTTTGGAACCTCCCTTCAGGAGGTTGAAGGCTGCTATCAAATCCCCCCTCACTCTTCTCTTCTGCAGACTAAACAGACCCAAATCCCTCAGCCTCTCCTTGTAGGTCATATGCTCCAGCCCCCTAATCACTTAACCCCTATCTCCTCAACAAATCAATTTGTGCTGGCCATCTCACAACCTTCCAGTAGGAATCAGGATCCTGGGAGGAGGTTTCTACTCATCCCCTTCTCAGCT